AATACCCATCCAGAGGCCCCCCCGCTAAAACATGGCCCTGGAACCCCCTGGCTATATACGTTCATCGTAGGGGCGGTGAAGGTGAACATTTTTTCTTTCTCTTTTATCTTTTTGCTTGTAGTATTATGATTGTGTCCCTTGTTAGTTGTTTCTTCGCAGTACAGCAAAAGTAGTATCTACAATGGTAGCGAGTTTTTTAGTCCCCCCTGGTGAACACGGCCATTTGGACCTACCATTCTGGGGGCTTACTATTTATACCTTGTTTTTCGACCGTTCATCCCCTGGTGAACACGGCCATTTGGACCTACCATTCTGGGGGCTTACTATTTATACCTTGTTTTTCGACCGTTCATCCACCATGTGGTGGGTAGGGCGGCAGGTATTACAATAGCACTCTTTTCAGTCAACGGAAATGCAGAGGTTTTTCCATGACAAAAGGGGAGCGAGATAGATATCAGCTCGGGAGCACACGAATTGTTTTTTGTCGTTTACCCGTTGCAAGCTCACCGTACTTTTACGACTCGGGCGTGACTTGTTTGCTTGGCTGGCTTTCTCTCGCGCTCTCTCTTTGTACAGCATTTCTTCATTCTTTGTTCCGCTCGAGGGAGACGATAGTCGTCGCTTCCGTTGTGCTGAAAAATCCCTGTCCGTAACCATACAACATCTGAGTGTATTTTGCCTCGGCTCCCTCCCCCCGTCACCCCTCCCCGTCCGTTGATTGTTTATATTTTCATACATGTTGTTGTTCTTGTTGTTGGCGGTGGTCTTTGTTTCCCATTCAGGTGTTGCCATATATATGCATACACACCCGCATGCTTTATATGCATACACACCCGCATGCTTTATCGCATCGCCGTTTCGCTGTAGAACAGCATTGACTGGCGTTTTCTGGGGCTAAAGACCCCCCCCTTTGGGCGAATCATTGATGACGTCGGATAGTACACGTATTATACGTCGTAGGCGTTTTGCACGCCGGGAGACGAGAGGGGTTGGGCCTATTGTGTGTGTGGGGGGGGGGCTATGTAGGCTCGCCCCGCACACTCCGGACTTTTATGAGTGAGTCGGGGCTAACACTTGATGTCTCACAACGCAAGAACTGGATATTATCTTGGAGGGTGGGGTTCTCGTTTAGTTTGCACATGGGATGCGGCAAAAAAGTGGTTTTGACATTTTTCAAAGAGCAGCGAAATTGATTGCGGCTGTGCCCGCAAAATTTTCGAGGGTGTCTGTCGAGGACAGGGGAGAGCGATGAGGTAGTTCCAAACGGACTGGACAGCCGTCAGACGGCAGCAGCTAGTTCTAGAACCAAGACCCTGCTGGCGTCGGCACTGCTTGGCGCAGGGGTTCGATTCGTCATGATGAGCGACGCTGCTGCCGCCATAGTAGTAAATAGTGATACGACACGTGTATTTCAAATGTTTTTTGTGACGGCGCACGCGCGTGGGTTGGCTCTCTCTCTCTCTCTCTCTCTCTCTCTCGCTCTCGCTCTCTTTTCTCGCTCTCTTCTCCCCTTGTGTCTCTCCCGGTACTACAGTACTATCTATCTATGTGGAACGTGAAAGATGATGCTGGTGTCGTGACTTGTTGAAATATCGGCGATGTTTGTCCCCTCTCGCTGAAGGAGAGTGTCGAAAATATCACGTACGTACGCCGTTTAGGTGTTGATAGAAAATCTCCCGCGTGTACCGTACGTCGGGTCTTTTTGCCGGTCTTTCTTTGTACCCTGATTTATTTTCTCGTTTGCGTTGATTTGTTGTCGCGGAGTGTTTACCGTCGATGTCTGCGTCGTCCTTGTATGCGTAGTGTATGACTTTGCTGCTGCCGTCCAACGGACCCCAGTCTGTACCAGGTATTATTATTATATTTACGTACTAGTTTGCATAAGATATTTGTTTTTGACGTCGTCGTGTTGTTGGGTTTGTCTGTCTCTCATCGCGTGGGAAATAAGTCTCCACCAAAACAGGAGGAAGTATATATATGTTTTCTCTCTCAACGTCCTTTGGGGGTGCTTGTGTTGATAGTCGCGTCGACAACAAGCAGGAAGCAGGGTGGATTCTCCTGGCCCTATCATAGATAGATAGAGTCGTCTACCAATGCCGGTTTTTTTTCGCACGGCGCCCTGCCTGTTGTTGTCTGCTCGAGGACCATCACACAGCGTAGAACCCAACGACCTTGCTAAAAGAAGACTAAATGTATAGACCAGACCGTCCATCAACGACCACACACAGCTTTTTCGGAGGGCCAACGCAAATAATAAGTTCTTCGTTCCTCTCGCTTTGCTTTGCTTGTAAGGGGTCGAATCTAAGACACTCAAATTGAGTTGGTTTCGATTCCGCGAAGGAAGTGCAGGTCCGCCCCGATCCCCGCCGACCTACAACGCCACCCTCCTCCCCGTACCCGTCACTGTTCCTCCTCCTCCTCCTCCTCCTCCCGCGGGCGATGAATTAATAATGCTGCTGATGATCGTCTGGCCGTCGTTGTCATTACTCCTGTCGGCCCTTCCCACCCCACCACCACTCACTCACTGCATTCTGTGTGGGACCTTGGAGAGACAGGTAGGTTTGCTTCGTCTCTAGACGTGGCAGTCGAGCACAGGGTACGAACCGCCGAATTTCTCAGACGACCGAGGAGGAAGAGGAACCAGACACGACTGGTTGTGTATCTACAAGTAAGTATTGTCGATTTTGTACGCACCACCTCCTCCATCCGCCTCCAAGCATTTAGTACTGTATCTACCCGCCGGCCGTCGAGACTCGCCAAATGATGATTATCACTTCGAAAATTGAAAATTGTTATCCAGACAAGTCTACCCCCGAGGAGTTTGGGCGGATGCCATAGAGTAGTAGTCGTGTAGTCGTGCGTGCGCTACGAGCTGCTACAACAACACACACAGCGGGCGTTTCTCATTGTTGCGGCAAAACTCAACCATCATCCATCCGGAAACTCTTCTCCGGTACAATACCACCGCCGTTCGTCGACCGTTCGGTGCGATGTCTCGCGATCCCGCCATCCGGCCGGGGCCGTCCAAGTAAAATGCAAGCGGAAAGTTCTTCCGGTTCCCTCTTGTTTTGATTGGCTGATGGATTTCCGGATATCAGGTCAGGTGTAGTAAAATCCCATGTGTGATGCCCCCTCGACCCCCTCGCGTGGCTGCTCTGATGGTCAAGCATTTGCTGTTGCGTCTCTCTCTGGTGCACGGAGCAACGCAGAACCGGGCCATGCTAGCCCCTTCACCAAGGATTCCCGTGCGGTGGCCATCGCAACTGTCGCTCTGCAGCAACAGCTCCTCTCGCGATGGCCTGGCGGCATCTTCGCCCGCTGCGGTTTTCAGCGTCTACGCAGCAGCCGAGCAGGGGGACCTGGCTCGGATGAAGGGTTTTTTGGTCGGAGGGGGCAACGTCAACAAGAGGAGCAAGGTGCGCGTATTGCTCCCTCGTTGGTGTTGCGGGAATGCTCTATTCGCCACGCTCACTCCCCGCCGCCGTGGGGTGCAAGTATATTCTACCACGGTTCAAGATTCCAAAAAGAGGCGGCGTTTGAAGTTTGAAAGGGCTATTATATTCTGTGTGTCGGCCCGATGACACCGCATAAGTCCGTCGTGTGCAACCACTACCACTTTCTGCCCTTCCATGCTCTGGCCTAACTGCTTACCTTACAAGTAAACCCGCGAAGTGTGGGGACACGTGTTGTTGATCGGTGTTGGCGATTCGACCCGCAAACAGAATACCGCGCACGCACATGGCTCTTGTTGCTCGTACAAAAAAAAAATGTGATGATGTGCAAAGCCTCTGACATCCTGTGTTGTTTTGTAGACTACGGGAGTTTCTGTTGCGTACGGAGTACAATACATGAATCACAAGCTGAACCCATGTCCGCTCCTGAGGGAACGAATGCTTCGAGGTGGAACAACAACAAAATAGTAATAGGTCCAGAGTTTCAGTTTTCCCCCGTGCAAATGCGTGGTTCTTGTGGTCACGTAGGAGGACTTCGTGGCTGCCGCTCATGCACTCGTGCATCTCTGGCGGCATCTCCGCCGTGTGCGGCTAGGTTGTATGATGCCGCACTGCTGTCGAAAGGAGAGCGGGAATCACGGCACTCCACGAAAACACACCTCTTTTGCACCCCTGCATTTTTTTTTCGTCGTTGGCAGGCTCTTGAACCCCCCCCCCCCCGATGTGTGGCATCATGCGACCGTGTCGCAAAATATGCGAACCTTGTCTGTCTGACTGTAAGCCATGCTATTGCGTCATGCTATTGCGTGGAAGGCGTCTGCCCATCTCCCAACGAGAGTTGGTATTACATGCATGTAGAGCAGCGCCATCACCAGCAACCGAGGGTTTATATGTCTGTCTCGATTGTGAGATTAACGGCGATGATGATTTCATGGAAGAATGGCAGCACAGAATGCCGGCAGACAAGTTGAAGTTTCCCTCTGGCCGTCACTTTAGCGTAACACTCTTTCACGATTGCATGTACATCTATTTATGACGATAGCTTGGCACACGTCTCTTTGGGGATTGGTAGATTTCGTAGATTCCGTAGACCATTGGATCTTGGTTCCGGCCCCGTACCGACGAAGTGTCGTGAATTGTGAAGATACAGCAGTTTTGTCCTCCTGCCAACATCCAAGAACGACCCCTCCCCCACCAACAACAGGAGAATCAAAAGCTTGCGTATGCTTATGTACTGGTAGCTGCTGCAGTCATTTCGTAATCGATTCGAGTGTAGGCATACACATACAGCTTCATTGAGAAGTTGGCCAATGGCAGAGCGTGAACCCATGTCGAGACGAAGGCAAATCTATCACAAATATCCCGTAAAAAGCCAGCGCTCGCGTCCATTCCACTACTCTGTTTCGGGAAATTGGACAGCACCAGGGATAGCGAGAGAGGGGGGGAACGGGGGCATTAGAGTGTGGATTTGTCTCCAGAGAGAGCGGGCGATGGGCTTTACTTGGTTTATATCCCGGTAGTCGTTCAGTATCGCCTCCTCCTAGCTTGTGATGCGTCAAAGCACGTGATATCTTCGATGCTTCACGTTCCGTGGCCCCCTTGCCCTCGTCTTCAGGACCAATCCTCCTACAAGGTGACACTCGAATATCTCAACAGATGATCCACCTCGCTCTCTTCTTTCAGAAGTGTTTTTCTTCTTCTGTCCCGACACGTTTGACTTCATCGTCGTTTTTGACCCGTTCGTGTTGTTTGTTCTCCCGCCTGCGTTGCATTTGATACCGACAGGAGGGATACAGCATCTTGCACCTTGCGGCCATGAGGGACCAACAAGGCATGGGTGAGGGGATCGATAAGACCGATCCAGGGTCGGGCAGGGGTAACGTCAAGGGGTACAAGGGGTAGAGGCAACTACGAGAGGGAGAGAGAGAGAGATACAAGCAGAAGAATGGCTATATATTAGCCATGCCATCTGGTTACTGTACTGCTGTTGCATTGGCGTGTACTGCAGTTGTCGTGCCTGGGGCCCTAGCGCCCCGACAGCAGCAGTAGTAGCATTCGCCCCAAGCTACAACCGCTTGGACTACTGTGGTTGTGTGGCGTGAAGGGGCGGCCATAGCATTGGTTACGGCCTGTCATGTTTTTGTACGGCATTTTGTCTACCATTGCACGTACACAGCGCAGCAATTCAAGCACGTACAACCCTTGTGCCACCAAATTCATAGCGCTGCTTTGCGAAGCTTAACCGCTTCACGTTCTGGATATTGTTGCTGCTGCCGTCAAACAATTACTGTTTCTAGTGGAGTTGCTCCTGAAGGAGGGAGCGGACCCGGACGTCCATGACAACGGGGAGGGGCTAACTCCCCTCATGTGGGCAGCACAGCTGGGGTGAGAGATACTTCATGCTTACCGTTGAACGGGCAGTTGAATATGCCACACGAGGCAGGAGCAGCAGCGAAGAAAATGGGATGATCGCAGTTCTAGACGCCTGATGTGCCTGGAACACCGCCTGCAGTCGCTAATTGTTCGTCGTTCGTGATTATGCATCATTTCCTCCATTGGGGTTGTACTCCTATTTTGCATGCCTTTGTTGTTAGACCATTGACGAGAGGACGGAGCATTGTTCCCACAGGACTGATGGCCGGTTTCCCCCTTGGGGGGAGCAGCTATGTGCATTGCGTTAGGCTTGCTCCAAGGGCCGCTAGTCGATGGTACAAACCCGCTCTTGCGTAGTAGTACGTAGATCAGGAGGCTGACCCACAGCTTTTGTTTTTTGCACCGCCCGGCGGTGCGCCATTCCAGTTTGGCACGACCTGTTTTTTATTTGCTTCCCGGGTTGCTTGGCTTTCTGTTGACAGGGGGCAGCTACTGCTGTACCCTGTCGCTCACGGGGGGTGTTCCTGTCGTTTACCATTTTACCACAGCGTTTGTATCTCTTGGTCCTTTCCTGGATCACGAAATCTCACGCACGTGCGCACAACAACAACGACAACAACGAAAACGACAACAACGCAGGCACACAGAGGTGGCGAACTCTCTTATCGAGGGCGGCGCCGACATGGAGCAAGAGGACAGGGAAGACCTGACGGCGTTGCACTGGGCCGCCCGCATGGGGCAGGAGCGCGCCTTGCTCGTGCTCCTGGATCACGCCGCAGATGTCGAGGTCAGCCGGCGTGTTTGGTGCAAGGGGTGGGGAGGGAGGTTGGCCTTGCTCCATGTGCTGTTCGAGCATCGGCGACTTGACCATCGCGTTTCGAGCGAAGCACAGGACAGCAGTCCACCGTTTGTAGATATCCGTGCTCGAACCAAGGTTTGGGGTCCTTTCTATCTATGCCATATGGGACGCGTTTGACTCTTGCAATGTTTTCGTACGGAGGAGGAGGGCGGGTATATTAGCTCTTCGTGTTTTTTTATTTTAATCTCGAACCAATCTGGTACCAAATCTTGGTGGTGTTCCTGACGGTCCGTCCTCTCCTTTCTTTCTTTTTTCTTTTTTTTTCGTCGTTCTGGTAAAAAAAAAAAAAAAGACGGTGGACTACGACGGAAACACGCCTCTCATCTGGGCCGCCCGCGGGGGACACCGTGACTGCGTCGGCCACCTCCTCGACCACGGGGCAACAACCACCACCCCCGATGAGAACGGCAACACCGCACTGCACTTCTCGTGCCAGGTAACACTAGCTGCTCCATGCATAGCATGCTAGATTTGTTCTTGACGAAGGCAGGGTGTGTGTACCAATGTCCAACGCTAGATTTGTGGTTGACGAAGGCAGTGTGTACCAATGTCCAATGCTAGATTTGCTCTTAACGAAGGCAGTGTGTATGTACCAATGTCCAATGTACGAGTACAGGCAGTAAGGAGCAGCTGCCTCCTGCGCAAAGAGAGAGTTGCTTGCTAAATAGCAGATGGTAAGGTTCCAGGTGCGGGATCGTCATTCTACCGTGTTGCAAAATTCTGAACGCGCACTTCCTAGAGCCCCCCCCCCCCCTGCCCCCCCCGTCTCATGGTCAACTGTGAAGTGACTTAAAGGCAAGCAACAAAATAACAAGAGAGTATATACCCCCCCCTGTTCGTTACTGCGCTTACGGGTGGTATGGTGGTGGTGGTGCTGCTGCTTCCATTGCTTGATGCAGACGGGCAACGCGGGAATCACCTCCGATCTGCTGGACTGGGGAGCGCTGGCCACCGCGCAAGACTATTGGGAGGTTCGGCCCCGCACGACGACGAGTTTATTCAAGACAAACGAGTTCCGTCGTGAAAATAAGTATAGGGAGCATGAAATGTTTCTAAACGTCCTCGGTTGCTAAAACGGGGGTGTGAGCCGCCCCCGCCCCCCGCCCCGATACAAACCTGAGTGTGCTTGCGCAGAACGGAGATGTGTCTCGCCCTTGTCGCGTGTCAGCGTGACTCCCCCGAATCGGCAAACCCCCTGCTTCGCTTAGTCCGGGAGAGCGACGTCACTTTTTTATCCTGCACCCCTATCTCGCTGTGTACGTGTGTGTGTTTGTTCCTCATGTCGACGAAACAGAGTGTTGAGAGTTAATCTGTCGGTCCCCTCCAGCAGCAGGATGCCGTCGAAGTCTGGCGCTCTACAGGCTTGACCCCCCACTCCTTTCATGTGTGTGATGAACGTGCGTGGGCGTCATTGTCCCCCAACCAACCGAACAGTTTACTCCGGTCCACCGGGCGTGCTCTCAAGGACACGGCAACGTGCTCAAGGAGCTCCTGCGGCAGCGCTCCGGTCGGGCAAGGGCCCGCGGTGGCGGCGCCGGCGGAGGGGGCGCCGACGACGGGTCTGGGGGAGATTTCTGGGAGAGTGGCCTGGCCAGGGCATGGGGCGGCGGCGGCGGCGGCGGCGGCGGCAGCGGCAATGTGGGAGAGAGGGGGGGCACGGGAGGAGGGCGAGGAAAAGGGGGCAGCAGCGGTAGCGGCACCAGCGGCTTCAAGAGAGGGGGGGGAGCGGGGGGGGTGGGACGCGGCGCCAGCAGAAGCGTGGCGGCCCCTCTACCCTCCGAGGTGGTGGACATCCGGAACCACTTCCACGCGACCCCGCTGCACAGGGCCGCGGCGAAGGGGCATGCAGAGGTGTGTATGTACGCAAGCGTCCTCGAGAGGGCAGGGCGTTGAACGGGGGGTGGCGGGGGTGGATGTGTAAGCGCGGCCGGCACGCCCAAAATATGTGCAAGACCTTCTCTCCTGCCCGGTTTTTCTCGTTGCCGCCGCGCGTTGCTTGTGTGTGTCCCCGACCGACCGCGTTTCGAGTAACCTAGAGCCCGTGCTGGTCGCACCGCCAGCGGGACAGAAGTAGATTCAGTGCCTTTGCTGCTGCTTCGGAGACCCGCTCGATCCGCCGTGGTTCTCAAACCAGCAGCAGCCCACACATTACCGTAGTAGGTGACGTAAGATATCTCACCCCCCTAGAACTAGCTGCAAAGGGTTCACTACTATACAGCAGAGAGAGTGGCGTACGATATCTCACCCCCCTACAACTAGTTGCAAAGGGTTCACTACTATACAGCAGAGAGAGTGGCGTACGATATCTCAACCCCTACAACTAGTTGCAAGGCTTTCACTACTTTACAGCAGAGGGAGTGGCGTACGATGTCTCAATCCCTACAATTTGTTGCAAAGCTTTCACTACTGTACAGCAGAGAGCGGTGGTGGTGCCGACACTGGCGGCGTTGAATTATTTTTCGTCGAGAGCCTTCGGAAAACGTATCGCTTGGCTTTGTCCATCCTCTTATCCTCTTCTTCGTGGCGGAGTATGTAGCCGAGCTTTGATTTTCGGTCCGGGTGTGTGATATACTGCTGTGTCTCATGTCACCTACGGCGGTAGTCTGCGCGATTTTCCATACGCCCGTGGGCAAAAAGTGGCCGGGGCGGCGCATCGCTACCCCGACCTTTCTTTTTTTTTGCTGGCGATCGATGATTTGACCGTCGCCTAGCCTCGCCGGCTGCCGAAGGAGTGTGGAGTCTGACTGGGAAGACGTTACGGCAGGTGACAACGGCAGTTTGCGAGCCCGGGAAGTGCTGCTTTGTGTGGTGGCGCGGGTTTTTGTTTTTGTCGCAGGCCTACTATAAGCGGAGAACGACTAAAACATGCGACGGACGGCCATGAGGGGGGTGTCCACATCGGCGGCATATACCGTAGGTGACATGACGTAAGATATCACACCACATGGACCGATTTTCGAAGCTACATAGATTACTTCCCGACGAAGAGGATGCATATTGTACATGAAAACGATACATACGTCTTCGGAAAGCTCTCGAACGAGACGGCTTCAAATGCCGCCGGTTTCGGCGCTGCCGCTGTTTCTGCTGTGGAGGAATCGAGTCTTCAAAAATCGGTCCAAGGGGTGTGTGATCTCGTGTGTCACCTATATACCACGGCACGTATGTCACCGACGTACCACGGCACGTGCATCCGTCTTTCTTTTCGTTCGCATCGGAGTGCTCAATAAAAGAAGGACGGCCTTTTTGCGTGCTGTAGACTATGTCCTATTCCGCAGCAGCGGCCTTTCGCATCCTCGCACACGAACCGAAACGTTGACCGTTATACACATCTGCGTACCGTTGTGCACGTGCTGCGGCCGCCCCTACAACAACAATCTAGAAGACACAAACACGCATAACCTACCAAGGCTGCTACTTGAGGCACTCGTGCTCGTTTCGGCGCCCACCTCGACGTTATTGGTGCTTGTGAGAAAATACTTTCGTTCGTTCCTTGTGAGAAACCAATATGTACCTGGCCAGCAGCAGTTCTCCCGTTTCTTTTGGGTTGCTCTCTTGTGTGTGTCTCCCTTGTTTTGTTGTGCGCTAGGTCACCAACAAAGATTTGGTGCTTGTTCTAATTTCTTCCTTGTGGGAGCCCAATACCCCGATAACATTTCTCCCTTACTTTTGGGCAGCTTCTTCTTCCTCTCGTGTTTGTTGTGCGCTGGGTCAAAGATGACCTTCCGCCTTCCGCACAACAAATGCCGGAGGCAGAAAAAGGTGCCCGAAAGGAAGGGAGAATTGTTGTCCGGGCAGTGAGTTCCCACAAGGAAGAGAGTGGAACAAGCACCAGTAGGGCGCCGAAGTGAACACGAGCAGAGAGTAGCGGCAGCCTTGATAAGACACGTGCAGTTTTCTTCTGTTGCTTCCGTCCTTAATCCGGAGAGCACCTTCGCCTCCCCCTTGACGTCCCCTGACGGGGTCCCAGATCATGGCCTTCGGAAGCATTTTCTGTTTTTTTAAGCCAGCCGCACTGGAAGAGTGACGTCTTTTTCATTGGTCAGCCTGTTAGGCGCAGTCGGTGCTAACAAATAAACACACACACGTGCCCGCACACCTATAATACACACACAGGTGGTGACGATGCTGGTGCAGAACGGCGCCAGCGTCGACTCGAGGGACGGGTTCTTCTACACCCCGCTCCACCTCGCCTGCATCAACGGCGCCGTGGCCAGCGTGGAAGCCCTCCTCCGCGCCGGCGCCGACCCGGCCATCAAGGCGCAGCAGGGCGTAACGCCGCTCATCGCCGCCAGGAAACCCGAGGTGCGCGAGCTCCTGAAGAAGGCGCTGAAGAAGCGGAAAACATCGCTCTGGGAGGTGGACTTGTCTAGCGGCGGCGGCGGCGGCGGGGGCGGCGGGGGGAGGGGCT